TCCGTCCCAATGGAAAACCAGCAGGACCGTACTACTGTTCAAGAAGGGAGACATCCATGACATTGGCAACTATCGCCCGATCTGCCTATTGTCTGTCATCTACAAGTTGTTCACTCGAGTCATCCTGAATAGGATTGGCAGAACACTAGATGAAGGACAACCATGCGAGCAAGCCGGGTTCCGCAAAGGATTCAGCACCATCGACCATATCCACACAATAACCAAGCTCATTGAGGTTTCTCGGGAGTTCAAGATGCCGCTCTGCTTAACGTTCATTGATTTAAAGAAGGCCTTTGATTCTGTTGAGACGGAAGCGGTCATTGAAGCCCTAGCCAATCAGGGCATTCAAGCCCAATACATCAGGATCCTCCGTGAGCTGTATTGCGGATTCACTACCAGGATCTCACCATTCTACAAAGAAGTGATCGTTGATGTCAAGAGAGGGGTGCGGCAGGGTGATACCATTTCACCGAAACTCTTCAGTGCCACCCTCGAGAACATCATGCGATGACTGGAATGGGAAGGAATGGGAGTGAAGATAGATGGTCGGCAAGTACACCACCTCCGCTTTGCTGATGACATTGTTTTAATAACACCAAACATCAGCCAAGCGGCACAAATGCTGGCCGACTTTGACCGTGAGTGTGGAAAGGTAGGACTACAGCTGAATCTTACGAAGACAATGTTTATGAGAAACAGCCTTGTTCCTGACGCCCCATTCGCTCTCAATGGAATGACCATCTCCGAATGCAACAGCTATGTCTACCTAGGTCGAGAGGTCAACATGACAAATGACCTGGCACCCGAGCTGCGCAGGAGGAAGAGAGCGGCTTGGAACGCCTTCAAGAACGTCGAAGAAATAGCTAAGAGGACGAAGAACCTCTGGCTCCGGGCACATCTCTTTGATTCCACTGTTCTTCCTGCATTAACATATGCCTCAGAGACCTGGGCCCTACGCAAACAAGATGAGAACGCCATTCAGGTCTCCCAAAGAAGAATAGAAAGAGCTATGCTTGGAATACCACGTTTCACTCAAATGAGAGAAAGAATCCGGAGTTCTGACATCCGTCGACGATCAAGGATCAGGGACGCTGTCTCATTTGCCAAGGTGTCGAAAATCAGATGGGCTGGTCACGTAATGAGATTTAAAGACGACCGTTGGACTAGAGCTGTTACTGATTGGATTCCACGGGATGTCAAGAGACCGCGTGGCCGCCCACCTACCAGATGGTCAGACTTCTTCCTGAAGATCATGAACGATCGGTTTGAGGCCCTTCATGTTCCCGGAGCGAACAGATGCCATTGGGCTACACTAGCACGCGACAGGGACAAATGGAGACGTTACTGGCGCCCGCTCGAGCAAATCGACGACTAACGGGAAGTTAAGTGATTAAGTGATAAGTGATGGTACTTCAAAGTGTTTGTATCATCCATAATTAAAAATCAGGCCAGAGTGACAGGATAGATGATAGGGTGTTTCCCTTGCATGCCACTGACCTGACTTGGATCCCAGTCATTCCACATAGTCCCATAAGCACAACCAGGAATAATTCCTGAGTGCAGATTTCAGGATTAACACCTGACCATTGTCCCAGGTATGATCCAAAAAACCAACAAAATGAAACAAAACAAAGAAACAAAAAATAATTGGAAAAAAAAAATCTAGGAAATAGGAGGACCAGCCCTACAGGCCAGGATTTTAATGGCTTTTAGAAGGACCAGAAATTCTAGGAGCCCTTAAACCTTATTAGAATAAATCAACATAAAAAAAGGAGTTCGAGTATTTTTACTCAAAGCAATTGTAAAAGACAAACAAACAAACAAACAAACAAACACCCCCCCAGGGCTAAAATCAGAATCTCATCATTCTACTTAATTCTTAACCACTTTCTTGAGGAATTAAATTGGTTTATATTACATAGCTGGCACTGTCCTCCCATTGCTCATCGATTTGTTCAAGTGGGCCCAGTAACATCTCCATTGTGAGACGTGTTACTGTGCTTGGCATCATTGTGAGACGTGTTACTGTGCTTGGCATATCGAATACGTCACAGGTAGCTTGCCAGGCTCTGCTGTGCAGGCGGGATACTCTCGGTAGTTTGCCGGGCTCTCTGAGAGGGACAGAGGAATCAAACCCGGGTCAGCCGGGCTGGCCATGTGCAAGGCAAACGCCCTACTGCTGTACGTAAAAATGTGCGTATGTAAAAATGCATGCATTCTGCACTGAAAGGAAAACAAACAAAAAATCTTAATAAACAGATAGTAAGCTCTGCCCTAGACAAGTTACAAAGTGGGTTCCTGGGGTGGGTGGGAGAGATACAAATCAACCACAACCCCCACCCTCAGGCCAAGATTTTGAGACAGAGATAGTCCAGCGGGTAAAATGCTTGCCTTGAGTGTATGTTGCTGACGAACAGGGTGCAATTTCTGGCACAATTATATTGTCCCCCAAGCAGCACGAGGAGACATTTCTGGGCACAGAGCCAGGAATAGCACCTGAGACCTGTCTGGTGTGGCCAAAGGAAAAAAAAAAACCTGATTTTGATGATACTATATACTTTCTTTGGAATTAGCTCCAATAAGTGTTATGACCTTAGGTACATTCCCTTATCTCTCAATTCTTTTTTCCTAGCATTAGATTATCTGGTTTTGCAGGATATATTGAGAGTGGCTGACTCATGGTCAATTGGCAATGATGGGAGTTCCTCCTGTGCAAAAAATTTTGGCATAGTTACAAAGCACAGAGATATAGGTCGAGTATGTCACTTAGCAGGTGTCTGAAAGAAAGTACACTGAGGTTACTTCACTTGCCCTAGATAGACAGCCGGTCAGGGGGAGAGGTGGACATGGAATTAGTTTGGGGGAGACAATGTCTTCTGGGAGACTACTGAATAGAACGCAAATATCCCCTCAGAAGAGTGGGAATCTTCTCCCCGTAGCACATGACGTTGCTGATGTACAAACCCTAGGCAGGTGAGATGGGGGTGAGGTATAGTTGTTTTAATTCTGAAGATCAAGAACAAGAGAAAGGTAAAGGTAAAGGCCCTCCCGTTGATCATCGATTTGCTCGAGCGGGCCCAGTAACGTCTCCATTGGAGACTTTGTTATATAGCACAGCGGTAGGGCGTTTGCCTTGCACGCAGCCAACATGGCCGACCCGAGTTCGATTCCTCCGCCCCTCTCGGAGAGCCCGGCAAGCTACGGAGAATATCTCGCCCGCACGGCAGAGCCTGGCAAGCTCCCCGTGATGTATTCGATATGCCAAACACAGTAACAAGAACAAGAGAAAGATAGTAAAAAATCCAGGTAAAACCAAAAGAACATAGTACCCGCAGGAAAATAAAATGGTTTATATGGACAATCATCTTTGGGGCCAGCGTGATAGTCCAGTGGGGAGGGCATTCATTTTTTCTAATTTTTATTTTTTTAAAAGAAATTTATTCATTTATTTTTATTTTATTTATTTATTATTATTTTTCTTTAAGTGTATATATTTTTTCCCTTAAATTTTTATTAGTGAAACACCATGAGATATGGTTGTAGACTTACAGACTTTTTTGCTTGGGTTTCAGTTATACAATGATCGAATACCCCTCCACGGGTGCCCATTTTCCACCACCACGGGTCCCAGTATCCCTCCCACGCCCCGTCCCACCCATCTCACCCTGCCTCTGTGGCAGGGCCTTCCCTTTTGTTATCTCTCTCCTTTTGAGTGCTGTGGTTTGCAAAAGAGACATTGAGTGGCAATCATGTCGGTCTATAGTCTACTCTCATCACGCATCTCCCATCCTGAGAGGAATCTCCCAACACCCCCTTTTTGGTGTTCCCTTCTCTATCTGAGCTGTCTTTTGGGGGAAGGTATTTATTTGCCTTGCACACCACCGGCCCAGGCTCCACCCTTGCCATCCTATAAGGTCGCCAGAGCACCACCAGGTGTGATTCCTGAGTGCAGAGCCAGATGTAACCTTCAGCATTGCCGTGTGTGACCCCAACAGCCAAAATAAAACAATAACCCCTACACACACAATAACCCCTACACACACATAAAATCCCCAAACCCCCCAAACATCAAAATGACATTTGGGGCCAGAGCAATAGTACAGTGCGTGGGACACTTGCTTGCCTTGCCCCCTGCAGACCCGGATTCCATATCTTGTACGCCACATGGCCCCGGGGGGTCTCCAGAAGTGACACCTGAGTGCAGAGCCTGGAGAAAGCCCTGTGCACTGCCTGGTTTGCTCCTCCCAATACCCCCCCACCCCAAAAGAAACCAATTTAAAAACGACAAAATTTAGATGGACTGAATCAACTGCCACTTGAAAAAAAAAGGGGGATTTTCTGAACCCTCTTGGTTTTGAAAATAATAAATAAATGCTGCTTCCTGAGGCTGGGGTTAAATTTCAGACAAATTCATAACACACGAAAGACTGATGCATTGACTCACACCCAAGTTTGCAGCTCTTCTTTCTTCCTTCTTTCTATTCACTTGTCACAGCCTGTGAATATAACGCTCAGTGCCCAAAGGCTTACGTGAATGTTGCTCGACCCCGGGTTATTTACTAGACAGATTTGAAAAGTATTCAAAGACACCTGAGTAATAAGTGTATATGTTTGACTGAGGGGTAAGCCACTTTGACAAGAAAACGACAAGCCTCACGTCCGCGTTCTTCTTTCTCCCGAAAGAAACATCTTTCAGACGACAACAGGACCAGCATCTCTGCCCTTGAAGGACCGAGACCAACCTCTCCCTCTCGGCTAGAACCCAACCGCCCGCCCCACCGGCGGGTGTCCCAGAAACCCCGAGCGCGCCCAGCAAACGCGTGGACTTCTGCAGCGGCTAGCCGGAGTACCTGGGCCTCGGCTCCCGTGAGCCAGAGCAACTTTCCAAACAAATCAGGGCGGGATGGGAGTGTCTTCTCGGCCCCGGGAACTTGATCCTCCTACCTCGCCCCGAAGCCACCCTCCGCCTCCCCCGCGGCAGGGCGGCAGCGACGGGCCGCCCGGGCGCGCGGTCGGTGTGGGCTGTGCGCTCCCGCGGCTCCGCGCCTCACATCCTCCCTCCGCATTGCACCTTCCTGTGCGAGCTGGGGGCGGGGGGGCGGCGCTGCCGCGGGGCCTTGCCAGCTGCTCCCCGCGCCCGCCAGCGGCTGGGATCGCGCCCCGGGCTGCCCGGGTCCCGGCTCGGGGACGCGCAGTGGTGCCTGCGCTCTCCCACCAGCCCCGATCCCGCGCCGCCGGCCTGTGGCTCCGGCAGCCCGATGCTCGCGGGCGCGGCGGGAGAGGTCCGAGACACAAGCGAGCGGCGTCGGGCGGGCGCGCAGCAGCGGGGCCCCGGCCTTGGCGGGTGAGTCACGCCGCGCCGGCTTCTCTGCGGGTTTGCGTGGCGCAGGCGGGAGCACGGAGATGAGTTGGGGTGGGGTGTCGGGGGGAAGAGAGCACTGGTGTAGGGGGGAAATGTTGCGATCGTCCGGGACCCCGACTTGCTGCATCCTCTGCTTGCACCTTCCAGCCCCCCGGAGCGTCGCATCCGCTCTGCCCGCCCTGGGTTTAATTGGTTGGCCGGTCGGAGGGGGGCACTGGGGGCGGCGTGGAAGGGGCGCGCTGCACCCCTGTACCGCGGGAAAGAAAGCGCGGGGGCCAGGAGCCCGCTCTTAGGACCCTTTTTGGGGGGGAAGGGGGCGTCACTGGGGCGCTCCGGAGGCCGACGGGGCACGTGGGTTTTGTGTGCACTATTGTTTTCTAGTGAAAGGGTCTGTAAGAGAAGGAAGGCGGGGAATCTAGAAGGCTCTCTCTCGCTCAAACACACTTTCTCTTCACCCACCCATCCCCACCCCCACTCCGCGGACCCCCTTCTTCCCGCCACAGGAGAGCTAGACCTAACTCAACAAGCACCGAAGCAGTTTGAGGGGCGGGAGGGCCGGGCTGTTGTTAGTTTGCAAGATAAGGATGGATTTGTGTCTTTTTTTTTAAGCCACTTTCTCCGGAGGCCCCCGAGTGAGCTCAGTTGCTCTGTTGTGAGCCGTTATTTGGGCTTAAAAGAATTATCTGTAAAAAGGGGTTTCCAGAAACGCAAAACCCAAAGCACCTTTCCCTCGGGATCCCAAGGGACTGTGGGGTTAGACATCTCATCTCTTGGAGAGATGTAGGAGGATGAGGAGAGGAGAGCAGGCTCAGGGAGGCGGCCCTGGTCCTTGGGTTAAGGAGGTAGCTTTAAGAACCCACAAGTCCGCTTGAAGTTCCTTGCACTTAGCGACCCTCTGCCTGTCTGCCCTGATATTTGACTTTCTGCTTCCGTATCTGTCTTACAGCAGACCGTGAATCTATCTTTTTATTTACGCGGAGGTGTTAAAGATTTGGAAACTTCTAGGTAGGCTGCTAGGTGATTTTCCATTTGAAAGCTTGTTCGTTTTACATTTGTGAGTGGTTTTATGTTGCTTCCTTTTCTTCTCCCCAGGACTGGTTTTTTTTTTTTTTATGCTGTGATTTTTTTAGGTGGTTTTATCCTTTCTTGTCTTGGTTTAAGGCTAATTGCTTTGTGTACATTTTAAGTAATAGCAACTTTGAATTCTAAGGAAAAACATTTCTAAGAAACTCTACTACATTGATCTGGTTTTATAAGATGTTTTTAATCATTTATGTGGAGGAAGAGAGGAAATCTTTGCTGTCCAACAGTGCTTTCCCTTGCCCAGTGTTTTTACATAGTCTCTGACTGTCACAGCTCTGTATTGTACCAGGCCTTGTGTCTTAAGACTTTATGGTGCACCAAAATGACCTTTTTGCACTTCGGTTGAGTAGATTTGTTAGACATACTCCATTTTTTGTGTGCATCAGATATTTGAGTCTCAGAAAGGAATATTCACTGAATGATGCTAATAAGAGTTACATTATTAAAAAAAATTGTGAGGCTGGAGTGATAGTATAGCACATACGCGTTTCCCTGGCCTACTGGGGTTCAATAACCTACATCCAGAGTCAGGATTAAATCTGGAACATCTCAGGTAGGGCTGGAGCGATAGCACAGCGGGTAGGGCGTTGGCCTTACAAGCGGCCAACATGGCCGACCCGAGTTCGATTCCTCCGCCCCTCTCGGAGAGCCCGGCAAGCTACCGAGAGTATTCGATATGCCAGACACAGTAACAACAAAGTCTCCAATGGAGACGTTACTGGGCCCGCTCGAGCAAATCGACGATCAACGGGAGGGCCTTTACCTTTACCTCAGGTATGGCCCCGAAACCCAAACCCAAACCAACCAACCAACCAAACAGCCAGTTTTCTCTTTTTGAAAACTGCCATTGACAAGTTTTACCATTTTCAATTCATTGGCAGCTGTTAAATTCTGTTACAGATCATTCTGTATTCCATATTATTTGGAAAGTTACAGGAAAGATATGAAACAGTGACACATATCCCATTTTTCTCTGATAAGTTTCATTTGCTAAGCTTGCAGTTACCACATGGCTTCTGTGGATACTGTAATTTCATCCAGGGTTAAGGAACAGAGCTCTGTTTGACAAACACCCTTGGTAATATTTATTAGCAGAAGATGAAGAAAAACAAAAGTCAAAAAGTCTAAAATGAGGCTCCTCAGTGCATCCACATTTACTATTTTATTCTCTATTTCCTAAGGCCCCATGAGACAATAATTCAATTCCATTTTATAGTTAAGAAAACAGAGACTGCCCAAGGTTAAGAGATTTCCAATGAGTCACGTGAAGTCTTCCTACACTTCAGCAGGAAGCTTCCATAATAGACATCCCTTACACATTCTTTTAATATATTATTCTCTGTTGGATGGACACAGTCAATTTGTATATTTCTTCCTCTGAATATAGTGTCCACCAGCTAGACTTCTGAATAGGTGGTCTATAAACTTTTGGCCTCTTCAGAATTCACTAATTAGGTATCTTCTATTTTCTCCACGTCTTGGTCATGGTATGTAATTGTACGGTATATGGCCAAATTGAGCACATTATGTTCTCTCCAAATGATTGTGATCCAAAATTGTTTTGATCCCCTCCCACCCCCCTTGTATTTCCACCGAGGTTCTTACTCATCGTTCTTCCCTGGGAGAAGATCTTCCAAGGGTTCTATATCTTGGGTATAGCACCTGGAAGTCTTTTTCAAGTTGAAGTGACACCTTTCCTGTCTGTCTCAAATGCAGTGAATAAGAGCACAGCTCCCCATTGCCAACTGAGACCCAATGAGTTAAAAAAATGTTTGGAGGGTGCTTGTTTGATGAAAATGAACATAAGCATTGGAAATTACAGGCAGACTCTAGTATGATTCTCTAGCAGGGTGTCAGAGCATAGTTCCTTCTCCTTGCTGAGCAGCTGAAATTCTTTGACTGGGTAGTAACTCCCCAGCACTGAGTCAGCCGTACCCTCTCAGACTTGGTTGAGAACTTGGCTGCTGGACAGTCTAGCTAAGGGGGAACAGATTCTCAGAGTGAGGGTGTGAGAGTAAAAGGGTAAGAAGTGGTAGGAGCTCAGAAATACTTTTGATTACCCCAGGGGATTGCCCATTACCATCTGCATCTCAACAGGAACTTTTCTTCTTCCTTGTGTCTTCAGGAAAGAAGAAAAAGCACTAATGCTTAGGGGCTTTTCTTGTCAGAAACCATGAAAAGCTCCAATATTAACCTCTTCTCCAAGACAGTGCTCAAGTGGTATTAGTTTGTTCAGCAGTATGGTACTATTGATCTTTGAAGGGTTCTTTTAAACTTTTGATTTACTTTCTTCCTTTCTTTCTTTCTTTTTTTTTTTTTTCTTTTTGGGTCACACCTGGTGATGCTCCGGGCATACTCCTGGCTCTGCACTCAGGAATTACTCCTGGTAGTGCTGGGGAACCATTTGGGATGCCGGGGATCAAGCACAGGTCTACCACTTGCAAGGCAAATGCCCTACTTGTACTATCAAGTACAACATGCAGCTGCATTCCGGCCCTAACACTGACTTACTTTTTATCAGTTTGGGAATAGAATGCTACAGGAAATAAGGAGAATCAGTACTCCATATGAGAAAGCAACAAAGTGGAGATTCTCCTAGGGGAAAGAGTTCTGTCTTCCAGTTTGAAGAGGAAGGGGGCATTGGTCTGGCTGTGGGTGCGGGTCACAGTCACTGGTCTGGGAAGTGTGAATGAAAAGAGAGCAGAAAGTAGCTTTGAACTGGATCTTGAGTGTTTTTCTGCATAGTAACCCATAAAGTGAATTGGAGGGAGGAGGGGGCACACCCACAATGCTCAGGAGTTACTTTTGGTACTGCACTCAGGAATTTTTCCTCTCAGTGCTTGGGGGACCACAAGGAATGCTAGGGATCAAACCCAGGTCGGCAGTGTGCAAGACAAACTTCATACCTGCTATGCTATAGCTCTGGCCCTGGAACCTGAGATTTTAATAATATTTACTGTAACATGAATCACACCATGTTGCAGTGTCTGGATGCTGGGATAGAGGAGAGACATGCAGTTTTGAGCAGAATAGACAAGATCTCTGCTCTTATAGTGCTTACATTGTGGCAGAAAATGGAATAATAAACAAGATATTACTCAATGGAAAACACTTCCGGATAGGGGAACTGTTGTACTAGTTGAAGAATTGGAGGTGTGATAGAGAAGTGAGGGAGGATCAGCTGTAGAGCCATCAGAGAACTGCTCTGAGGAGGTGATTTTGTTTTCAGCTGTGGAGAAGGAACCAGTCAGGCAAAAGCACAAGAGTGAGCATTTTCGTCAGAGAGAACGGCAAAGGCCCAAAGAGATGCATGACTTTCAGGGTACTTGGAAAATTAGTAAAGGAAGAACTGCAGAAGGGAGATGGGAAGAGAATAAGTTGGCAAGTAGTCAGGGGACTACCTCTATCCAGTCTTAGAAAGTCAAAGACAGGGCTTTAAATTATACTCTAATTAGAATACGATGCAGGGGAGATTTTAAATAAGAAGCTAGCTCGGTCTTTACTCAGTGGTCTTTGACTGTTAACACACACACACACACACACACACACACACACACACTTTCATTTTCACTTTCACTTTTAATGTTTTATTTTTCTTCTTCCCATTGACCATTACTGACAGGAGTTTTGTTTCTTTGTTTCACCTCCAGGGCACAGGCATATCCATATAGAGAAGCAGATCTAAGGAAACCATGGGGTATTCTTTTATTTCCCAAGATAAATCTACATACACCGGTTTCCCCTGCATGTTTAAAGGTCCATCACTAGCTCTGACTTCCTAATCTCTGCAGACTGAATATGTACTTGTCTCGAAAGGCCTCTGGGTTGGGCACATCCAAAATTAGATTTGTGAGAATCATTTAATCAAACTCCCTTTTGGTATCTTTTGCAAATGATTC